AGGAAGTCACAGCAATCATGGCAGTCATGTGCAACATCTCCAAGAGAAGGATTTAAGCCAGGACTCTGGGGGGCTACGACGCCACACTCACCTAGAGTGTAGGCCCACTCCCTATCTGTGGGGGGTGAACTTTTCTTAAATAAATCTTTTCTTTTTTTCACCTTTTTGTGTGATGCAATTCTTTGCAATTTACTCGGATCTCTTGCCAGTGCACACCTCCAGGTTGCCAGCCCTGGCAGTGCTGCACGCCTCCCTGCTCTGCGCCTCTCCACCTCCACCCGGTCCATCCGTACCCTAACAACTCCAACTTAATAATAATAATAATAATAATAAATTACATAAAATGTTAAAAATCATTGAAATACCTGGAGAGGAACTAGAGAGAGGTTCATGAAAAATTACAGCCAACATGGGGGGGGCGTGATATTGCTCTCCTTTGGCAGAGTTAAGTCACCAGGCCAGTTGGCCTCCACCTTGGGAGAGGAGTCCACTGGTGAAAAATAGGAAACTCAAAGGAAATTAGAGATCAGGCCATCAGAGTGTGGGTGCTAGGAAGCACTCTGGGAAAGGGCCTAAATCCAAGCTGAAAAAAAGCCCATGCTGATTCCAGTTTCCTGAACCCCCCTCCCCAAATCATCCCATCCTTTCCCCACTCACCCCAGGCAGCTGCCCAGGCACCTCTGCATCACTGTTGTAGCTCTGAGTAAACTAAGGTCATTCTAAAAATTCCCAGAGTTGCATTTTTTAGCAACCTCAATCTCATCTCAGTCTCGATCTCTTTTGAAGAGATCTCAGAAGGGACCCCAGGGAGGGGGATGAATGGAAAATTGAGCCCTGCGTCCAGGGTAGGACGGCCACAGACGAGTAAGTTTGCTATTTGACAGCACAGACCAGTGGTCTCTTTTTAATTCTCTCCACAAATACCCAACGGAGTAGTTATTGAGTCACTCACATTTGAAACCTATACTTTTGCACACACCTTATGTCACTGAGTCCTCACAAAAGCCCTGCAGTAATTTCCCTTTGGCCCAGAGTTCCTTGGTCAAAGCTTTACAGCTATGAGTGGCAGAGCCACACCCAGGATCACGTCATCTCCCAGGACCGTATCACCTGCCTTTGATTCTGCATTTCTTCCTCTCACTATAGCACCTCCCAAGTCTATGAATTCTTCCTCAAGCCCCCCCTTCCTTCCCTTACCCCCTGGCAGGACCCTGGCTCACTGTGCTCCCACCCTACACCTGGGTTTCTCTGGAGGTTTTCTCAAATGGCCTTAGAAGAAACTGTTTTCTGTCTTCATCAACTAAAGGAAAACTTTTTCATCTAGTCTACTGTACACTACACTCTAGACATAACTTCTTTTTATTTTTTATTTTGAAAAAAACAAGCCGGGCTCGGTGGCTCAGCCTGTAATCCCGCGCCTTTGGAAGGCTGAGGTGAGTGGATTGCCTGAGCCCGCGGGGTCGAGACCCGCC